GCAGGGGTGGCGCCTGGGGAAGTGGACCAGGGGGCCCCCCTTTCCGTTCCCTGGCCTGTCTGGGGGGGGGGGGAGCGACGGGGAGAAGGATGGCCTTGGTGCTGCGGAGGCGCTGGTATCGGGACTGATATTTCATGGCGGTCACTGGGTGGGGCCAGGCAGAGCCGTCAGGAGGGGCACGAGTGGGTTGGCGGCTGTTTCGGAGAAGGGCTTGGATTGTCTGCAGGGCTGGGAAGCAGACTGGCCTGGCAGTGCCCTGGCGGTGTGGGCATCACTCTGGCCTTGGATGGCTGTGGGCCTGGCAGGTGCTGCCGGTTGGGGCCGGGAGAGAAAGCCCCGCAGCCAAGGCCAGCCAGGGGGGGCTGGGGGGGCCTTCCAGCCTTGCCGCTCCTTCCCCTGCAGGACCCTGGCCGGCTGTCAGCCCCTTGGCCTGGGGTCTGGCCCAGGAGGAGGCAGTTGACCCCACCTCTGCCGCGGCTGACTCCGCGTGTGGCGCCAGTCGGCAGACAGCCGGACTCTTCAGGAAAAGAAAGCAGCTTCCTGGGCCTGAGGCGTTGGGCTCCCCACGTTCAAACGCCTTGGGCGGCACGTGTCCCTCCGCAGCCCTGAGCACCCTCACTGGGGACCCCAGATGGCCGCCTCCTCAGGGAGGGGAGTCACTGAGCAGCCCCTCGAAGGGCCACGCTGGAGAAGCAACGTAGGGATTTCCTAAACAGATACAAGAGCTGCCTGGCCCGGTCCGCTGCGCCCGCTGGCCCTCTCTGCTCCCGTGGCAACTGCCAGGCTGTGCTCTGTCTCCTGGCAGGGTGCCTTGGCTGATGGATTAAAATCTTCTCCTGGTGCTGCCGGGCAGTTACGGTTCCAAAGTGACAAACAGTCAAGACAAAACAAACCCCCATTAACGCCCCAAGGAAACGCCTGCAGCCTGAACCCCATTAACCCCTCCTCTGCAAATCAGAGGGCCTGGGGGGGGCCCCGGCAGACTCCGCGCGGACCACCTTAAGTGGGGGGACAACCAGAAGGCTGCCCTTGCCGCCTGGGGGCACATGGGGGGTGGGGAGAAGCGGCCCTCTGGGCACTCCTTTGGAAGGCGCCCCACCAAGACCTCAGGTTGCCAGCCGCCAGGTGATTGTAGAAACAACAGAGAGGTCACGGGAAGGATGCAAACAATGATGAAAACAGCCGTGATGTAGTATTATGAAAATATATTTGGATTGCTGTTTTGCAGGGAGTAGTATTTCTTCAACAAGTAATAAAGATGTACACATACACACTGCATGTACTACCGTTTCACATGCATATACTATCGTGCACAGAAAGGATCTGTTTCATTGAAATGGGAAGAATGTTGAGTGTTAATTTCACGGATTAGAATTGTTGACGTGTAAACTATTTTTTGGGGGGGGGTTGTGTGTGGGGTTTTTTTAATGGCCACTGTGTGACACAGAGTGTTGGACTGGAGGGGCCATTGGCCTGATCCAGCATTGGCTTCTCTTATGTTCTTATAAGAGGGAATTGGATGAGCATATGGAGCAGAAGTCCATCGGTGGCTATTGGCCACGAGGTCTAGATAGGAACTCTCGGTCTGGGGCAAGGGATGCTCTGTGTTCTTGGTGCTTGGGGGGGGCAACAGTGTGTGTGGGGGGCTCCTGGAGTCCTGGCCCCACTGCTGGACCTCCTGATGGCACCTGGTGTTTCTGGCCCCTGTGTGACACAGAGTGTTGGACTGGATGGGCCTTTGGCCTGATCCAACACTGGCTACTCTTATGGTCTTTTGTTACTCACACAGCACACTTAGAAAAAGCGGTCATGTGAAACAGTAGTACATGCAGTGTGCGTGCGTACATCTTTATTAGTTGTGGAAGAAATACTACTCACTGCAAAACAGCAGTCCAAATACATTTTCGTAATACTCCATCACGGCTGTTTTCATCATTGTTTGCAGTACTCCAGGGGTTGGCCGGGGATCTCCTGGGGTCACAACAGACCTTCCAGGTGTTAAGAAGAGATCAGGTCACCTGCAGGAGATGGCCCCATTGGAAGGTGGGGCTCTCTGGCGTCCTTCCCCACTGAAGCCCCGCCCTTTCTGTCTCCTCTCCAGATCCACTCGGACTCCGACGAAGGGGACGGCTCCATCAAGTACACCATCTCCGGGGAAGGGGCCGGCACCATTTTCCTGATCGACGAGCTGACGGGGGACATTCATGCCACGGAGCGCCTGGACCGGGAGCAGAAGACCTTCTACACGCTCCGGGCCCAGGCGCGGGACCGCCAGACCAACCAGCTGCTGGAGCCCGAGTCGGAGTTCGTCATCAAGGTCCAGGACGTCAACGACAGCGAGCCCCGCTTCCTGGGCGGGCCCTACATTGGGAGCGTGGCCGAACTCTCCCCCATTGGTGAGCCCCTGCGCCCAGCACACGCCCCGTACCCCGGCAGGGACCCTGGCGCCCTCTGGCCGCTAAGACGCGCCCCTCCGCTTTGCTTCTGCTCGGCAAATCCGTCTCGCGCCCTCTTCTTCCCTCTTGCTGGTCCACGGCACAGGTGCTGTCTGGGGCTGGCCCCGTCCCCAGCAGCCCAAGCCCTGGGACTCCTCCTGAGGCAGAGTGGGGGATGTAGGCCGCAATGGTGCCCTAAAGCAGGACACGGCTAGATGGCCACTCGGAGCGGCACCCTGTGGAGTCTCTGACTGTGCGGCCCTTTTCGGGTGGTCTGTTTCGGTGCTCTGGTCACGTGCAGAAGGCTGTGCAGGGCCCTTCTGAGTCTGAGGTGAGCGGCCGCCACGCTGTGTGATTGGGACATGGCGTGCATTCCCCATGCATATACAGCTTTGGTGTGTACAAATGGAACTCCAGGGTTTTGAGGGAGAGTGTTCACACGTACCAAAGTGGTGCACACGTGGAAAATGCACGCGCGTCTGGGGGGATTTATTTATTTATTTATCCTTCGGCTTGATATACCGCCCTAACCCCCGTAGGGGTCTCTGGGCGGTTTACAGTTCTTGGTGTCGTGCACACTGCGAGGTCACAGGGGTCCCAGCCATGCAGGGCTTGTGAGGAGGAGCGGAGAGCGAGGGTGCCGTTCACGGGGCCGCAGCAACCCCCGGCCTTTGCCTTGTCAAGGGTGACCCAGGTTTCCCCGTGGGACAGCGGTCTGTCAGGTGAGCTCCCTCTGCCGGATCACGGGAGGTCTGGTGGAGTCGCCCTCCCTCCCTCCCTCCCAGCCCAGAGTTCTGAGGGCCCCGTGTGTGTGTCCACCCGGGACCCACCCTCCCTGCAAGGCGCTCAGAGCGCTGTCTCTGCCGGCACCCCTCCCCCCCGTCTTATCTTCCAAACAAGCCTGCAGGGGAGGATCGGCAGAGGGAGGGGCACCGACTCCCCCCCCCCCTCACTCCTTGGCGCGGTTCAGGGGAGAGAGGAGGGATTTCGGCCGGGACCACGCAGGGCAGAGTCCGGGGCGGTAGCCACTTCCCTGCCCGGGGTCCTCGATGGGACCCGCCGCTCCAGCGGTCAGATTCCCTCTGTCCCACAGATGGAAGACGAAGCTCCTCCTGGCCCTTGGGAGTTGTGGGTTTGGGGCTTGCTTTCCGGGCAGTGTCAGGGCAGCCCCCGGAGGCTCCGGTCTGCTGCTTCTGCATGGCTGGCGGGTGGGGCTCCCTTTGAGCCCTGGGACCTGGGACCTGGGGGGGAGGCGTGTTTGTGCAGGTGCCGGGGATGCTGCCAAGAGCCCCGGAGGCCTCTCCCGCTGTGGCCCCTGTTGTTTGGCTCCGGAGTGGCCTGAGCCCTTCCCCCTGGACCGCTGGACCTCAAGGGCACACAGCCCGGGTGCTCTGAAGGGGGCGGGGGGCGTGTGCAGTTTGTGTGTCTGTGTGCAGTTAGACAAGGAATGGGTGGCTCCAGAATTCACCTTTGTGTCCGTCTCGCTGGCCAGTGGTTACAGGCAGGGTGGGGGGGGGAGAGGGGAACATGTGAGAGGGGTGGGGGACCATTGGGAGGAAGAACGCCCAGGCATGGGGTCTTCCGGGAGACCCACAAAAGCAATCCCTTTTTTTTAGCCTAAGGCGCTCCTTGCCAACCAACGGATGATGTGAGCACGGGTTGCTTTCGGAATGTGCATGTGTGTGTGGAGGACACAAAGGTCCCCAGTGGCCATCAGCTGTGTCAGCCAAGTATGTAGCCTCCGTGTGCAGGGAGGCAGGGCCGTGCCCAGCCGGGGAGGGGGGCAACAGTGGGAGGGCTTCTAGTGGACCTCCTGAGGGCACCTGGTCTTTTTGGCCCCTGTGTGACACAGAGTGTTGGACCGGATGGGCCACTGGCCTGATCCAACATTGGCTTCTCTTCTGTTCTTATAAGAGGGAATTGGATAAACATATGGGGCAGAGGTCCATCGGTGGCTCTTAGCCACAAGGTATAGATAGGAACTCTCGGTCTGGGGCAAGTGAAGCTCTGCATTCTTGGTGCTTCAGGGAAGGGGCAACAGTGGGAGGGCTCCTAGTGTCCTGGCCCCACTTGCTGGACCTCCTGATGGCCCCTGGTAATTTTGGGCACTGTGTGACACAGAGTGTTGGACTGGAGGGGCCATTGGCCTGATCCAGCACTGGCTTCTCTTCTGTTCTTATAAGAGGGAACTGGATAAACATATGGAGCAGAGGTCCATCGGTGGCTATTGGCCACGAGGTCTAGATAGGAACTCTCGGTCTGGGGCAAGGAATGCTCTGTGTTCTTGGTGCTTGGGGGGGGGGCAACAGTGGGAGGGCTTCTGGAGTTCATGGCCCCACTGCTGGACCTCCTGATCGCACCTGGTACTTCTGGCCACCATGTGACACAGAGTGTTGGGCTGGAGGGGCCACATTGGCCTGATCCAGCACTGGCTTCTCTTATGTTCTTATGGGGGGAGTACAGCTGTGGCAGATGTCGCCCCGCCTGAGCACCTCCTGAAGGCCCCTCTGTCGGCTTGTGGTCTAAGGACCTCCTCTCCGGACGGCACTGGATATTCTCCAGCCAGCGTTTCTACCGCCCTGTGTGGGACGCAGAACTCCCTCGCGAATTGTGTGCACTGGTACAGAGCCCTGACAAAAGAGCTGTTTCTTTTCGTTTCCCCAGCGCACGGCCAGCGCCTGGTGCTGGGAGGCCCTGGGCAGAGCGTTCCCAGGGCCACCCTCCCACCTCCGACCCACTCCCAGGCCCTCCGTGGTTTCCCCCTTCCGGCCTGCCTCCCCCGCCCACATGTGAGCTCTCCCACTGCCCCCACCCGCCGCTGCCCGCAGCCCTTCCCCCTGGGGTACTGGGCAGTGAGAGTGCCGCTGGGGGCACCCTGGAGCTCTGGCCAGCCAGGGAGGGCGGGGGCAGCAGCAGCGGGTGCCGGCAGAGGCCCTGGGCCCTGGCAGCTGCGCCAACTCCAGGCGTGCTGACTCCGGGTGCCCTGCCACCGCCTGCTCAGGATCCTGGGGGGTTTCCACATGGGGACGGCCTTGTGTGGCAGACCTCCCCCTTGCCCTGGTCCAGGACAGCAGCAACGGGAGGGCTTCCACCTGGCAGCCCTGCCTGCGTTTCCCCCGCCCGAGTTCCCTGCAGCAGCCTCCCCCCCTCCTGTGCCACCGGGGACTGTTCCGGGTTTTCTTCCAAAGTGGCACTTGCCCTAGTTTAGAGCATTACAAGGTTATTGTGACCCGTGTGCTAAGAGCTCTGAATCCCCACCTTCCATTTTTACAAGAGCATGGCTCTAGCCCCTTTTGTTGTGGAGATACGAGGGGAAAGGCATCTCTTGGCCATGAAAGGGGATCCAGAGGAACCAGCCACAGGAGTCCCAGTATAGCATTATAATGAGATATGTCCATTGCTGGTTTTTAGAAAGGGCTTCTGTGGTGGTGGGGAGAGGGGCCACCTTTTTTTGGGGGGGGATGGCTGATGTGAGGTTCTGGGGCAGGGGGGAACGGCACAGAGCTGGGCAGGCCTGGGGAGACCTGAACTGTCCCGCCAGCACACGGGCACCACCACCACCACCCCGGCTTCGCAGTGCCCCTTCCCAGACAAATCGCAGGAAAGCGGGCGTGGGAGAGGTTGCAGGGAGGGCCCGGGAAGGGCTGGAAGCAGCACAATTCAGCAGGGAGGCAGGAGAAAACCTGTCCCTCCCCCCCCCACGGCATCCAGACCTGGCCTGGGCAAATCACCTGGGGGGGGGGAATGACCTTGGTCAGTGCTTCCTTTGTGCCGGGGCTCACAAGAGTCCTTTCGCCCCGGTGTCCCTTCTTCTCACGAAGGGAAGCAGCACTTGAGCATGTGAAGAGTGCCTTTGGCTCCTTGTTGAGTAACAGTGGCCCATCCCCACTCCCCAGGGATTAAGCAGAGGAGCACCAAAAGGGAACACGTCTCTTGGGGCAGGATTGGGCCCCGGCCTCAGACCAGTCCAGTGGCACGAGGGAAGAGAGAGAGAGAGACTTTTTGGGGGGGGAGGGGGTCTAAGCTCTGGTGGAGCGTCCAGGCTCCCTTCGATCTGATAGCTCACCCACCCAGCCCGCGCCCAAGGGAGCTGCCCTCCCGGTGGTGTGAGCCGCGTGGGTGTGTCCTGGGTAGACAGGCCGTGGCGCATCCCTGCAGGCGAGGCGGGTCTGGGGAGAGGGGGGGATTCTTGGAGCGGAGCCACAGCCGAGAGACTCTGATTATTTGAAAATCGCTCACAATTATTGAGGAGCCAGATCACGGGCGGGTGGAAACAAGGCATATCAAAGGCGGCCGCGTCTGTGCCAAATTGGAGATCACAGGCAGGCAGGCGGGCGCTTTCCCCGACATGAAAGGAGGCGCTTCCTGCAAATTAAAAGCCAAGCGGAGCCTCGGGAGCGGCAGCAGCAGCAGCGAGGACGTGCCCAGGCGGCCCGATTGGGGGTCTGGCCCAGGGCTACGCTGCGTGCCCCCCCCCAAGCGTGGGGTGCTGGTCCTCTCCTCCCCAGATGCCTGTGGGTGCAGGGGGGGGGAATGGTAGCAGAGACTTTCCTGGGGGCAGCAACAGCCCCTTCCCCGCCCATGGGAGGTGTCCTCTTGCAGCTTCCCCCAGGGTTCCCCCAGGAAGTGCCAAGGGCGGGCTTAGTGACTCAAGGGGGGAGGAGGCAGCCGGGGGCTGGATGGTGACCCCCGGGCAGTGGGGGATCACAGACTCATAGAATGTTAGAGTTGGAAGGGACCTCGCAGGTCATCTAGTCCAACCCCCGGCACTCTGCAGGAGCGGGATCAGCGGGAGGGTGGCCTTAGGACTAGTCTCAGGCAGCATGGGGAGTTTGGTGTCATGGTTAAGTGCGCGGACTCTAATCTGGGAGAACCGGGTGTGATTCCCCACTCCTCCTCCACTTGCACCTGGCTGGATGGCCTTGGGCAAGCCGTACTTTTGACAAGAGCTGTTCTTGAAA